AAAAAACATTAAAATAAGAAGCATGCTAAAAGTAGCAGATGTTTAAGGCCTGTTGGGAAAAGTGCTCAGGAACACTTTAATATTTTTACTCTTTCACTTATTATTCTCTTCATAAGCATGTGAGTGTTAAAGAGAAACCTCTGACATGAACCACGGTTACTTGCTGATACATGTAAAAGCCTCTGGCAGAGGATTTAAGTGCTTTTCTTTTCAGATCCCTTTTACTCAAACTTGAATATATGAAAAGTGCATCAGGGTAGCTATTATCTTTTTCCATGTGGTCTGAGACTCAGTCTGTACGCTGCCACCACCAAGTTACTTTTCCTGGTCACAGAAGAAATCACAGGAATTCCTCCTTGTTCATTCAAATCCTCCGAAATCCTTAGTTGTGTGGTTCTGTTTGTGATGTTTTGTGTTTTGGTGAAATCCTACAAGTGATTTAATGTGTGAATCTGCCGGGAACAACAGCAGTGGCTGTGATTTTTATCTACCGATGCTTCCACATGTGTTGTGCACGTTTTGGAGGAGCAGATCTCAGAAATGTGAGAAAATTGTTTGATGAAAATGGCACAGAGTCAAAAAATTAGGAATTTTAATCTCACAACAATGTTGTGTATTTTAATTTGAGTATTGTTGTTAAATTTTGTCATTGCATATTGTCTACAGTTACACAGACAGCCAGTCAAACATTTTTTGTCAAATCTGTATGAAGATACTAACATAATAATAATAGCACTACATCTGTCTGCTTCACTGATGAGAGCTTCTTCCAAATGGATGTTATTGAGTGAGACAGACGTATTTTGTGAAATTGGCTTCACGCCTCATGTGTCAGTGGAAGTGAAACTAAAACTTTGTGTTCTTCTGTGACTCATTTGCTCTTAAAGTGAGAAAACATTAGAATGAAGATAGATCGGACACTGAACTATAATTCACTTTGCATCTAACTGTACAATGTTGTATTTGTCGGTACGTACCATTCGGTTTTATCGGTGCAGATGAAGAACTGGGATCCGTTGGTGTTGGGTCCAGCGTTGGCCATGGACAGGATCCCTGCAAGGAAACAGACTCAGGATCAGTTTGATAAAAATAACAAAACATAAATGTAGAGAATGGAGCGATTTTAACTTTTATCAAATTACAATGGATCAACCTTAAGGAAACATCTGTGATCATTTTAACAACATTGTTCATTATTGAGGTGTTCTCTATTTACACACTGCTGCCACCTGGTGGTAAAACTGATTAAGAAGAAACATGGGGAATGTAAAATGGATCATTAATTTCCAAACTAAAAATAAGTAATACAATAAAGCACTGGTGTAGATATGTACATATATGTAAAGTCCTGTTTATATACGGCTCGAGTGTTCACCAGCCTGGTTTCAAACCCTGCACAGTGAAGAGGAATGACTACCCGCTCATGTGTTCTTGTAGCCCTGCCCTGCCCCGCGGCCCCTGAGGACCTTTAATTTATACTTGTCTGAAGCTGCCTTGGCCTGATCGTGAGAATCAAGTTTGTAAAATACATTTTGCGATGATCGTGTCGCAGTTCTGTTCTGGTAAATTCTCCTGACCTTCTACAACAACTGATCCAATTCCCAGACTCTCCACATCTGGAAAACGCCTCTGAAAAATCCTTACGTAGTGGAAAATCTGGAATAAACATACCAGGCTGCTGTTCTTCTTCCCAGTGAGAATGTACACAGATAGTAACAGTGGGATGTAGATGTATTACCTGGTCCAGTGTGCGTCAGTTTGAAGTTCTCATCAGGAAACTTCCGTCCGTAGATAGATTTCCCTCCAGTTCCATTGTGGTTTGTGAAGTCGCCGCCCTGAAAACATAACTGTAATTACACGCGGGTCAATTGAAAGGACACACAAAGAAGAGAGAAACCTACCTGGCACATGAACTGAGGAATCACCCTGTGGAAAATCGATCCCTTGTAACCAAAACCCTGCTCCCCCGTGCACAGGGCCCGGAAGTTCTCTACAAGAAGAGAGGTGGTGTCAGTGCATGTCAGCGAACACAACACAACAACAACCTGCTCAGCAACAACTGCAGAGTTCGGTTTTAGCTGCCACACGATGATAAATCCGATTATTTCCACCCCATGAGAAACAACGGGTGAAGGGCAGGTTACTGAGTATTCACTTGGTGATGTACTCACACTTCTGCACAAGTTATTAATGCTAAAGTTAACGAACATAAAGAACAGTACATTGACATTTGAGCATGTGCTGCAGGGAGAGTATCTGACTGAGTGTTAAGGATTATTTTAAATAGACAGAGATATCACTTATACATACTACTACTATTTAACTACTGTATACTACTACTAGATTAAAACAGAATGTATTTAGGTATTTTGAAAATATGAATTGTTCTGTGCAGAAAATAAATCATTAGTGTGACTCACCTGCGGTTTTGGGCACAACTTCAGCGTTGAGCTGCAGAGTGGAATGAATGAATGAATGAATGAATTGATGGTGACACAGTGAGAAGAAGTTACCGACACACCGGAGGGGGATCATGAACTCTGCGGGTCTTTAGTTCCTCCACTCACCTCGAAGGTGACTCTGCCCAGCGGCTCGTTGTCTGCGGAGATGTCGAAGTAAACCGTGGGGTTGTTGTTGGCGGCTGCGGGGCCGCTGCTGCACAGACGAGCAGCGGTGAAGGCCAGAGAGCAAAACTTGATCCTGTTGGATAAAAGCATCTTTAACACTCAGTGTATGTGACGAGGTGACTCCGATCAGCTGCTGCTGCTGCAAGGACGAGGATCACATGCTGGAAACCAGGAAGCGGTGTCTTACACAACCGGAACTACGTCCTCTCCAGGTCTCGCGATAGTTCACACAATCTAGCTCAAGCGCCTAAAAAGAAATATAAACGTCTATATTAGAGTATAAGTGTGTACATCTAAAAGTAAAACACAAAGCAAAACTATGAATAAAGAATAAAGAAAAGTCCTTATTTATTCTCTCCAAAATAAGTGTAGGCTAAGGCAGCAATGAACTTGTACGATGAAAACTTATTTTACACTAAACATATTTATAAATAAGGAGACACATATTGTTATTATCATAAATATACTTTTAATATAGATGTAGAATAATACAAATGTAAACAGTAATAAAAGTATGTAAATAGAATTTGGTGATCTCAGTGACTTTGATCATGTTTTGATCTCTACACGATTTAAAGCGTTTTATTCAGAAGTGCTGATCACTCAGTTAACCCCTCGTTACTTCTGTACTGAGCAGAAAAGCATCAGAACAGATTGAACTTTGAGGCAGAGGAACATGTCAGGTTTCAGTCCGGCTGCCAGACGACAGCAGAAACCGGAGGCTGCAGAGGTCACTGGAGAATCGAACTCTGAAAAAACACAGGCTGCTCTGGTGAATCTGGATTGTTGCTGAGCCTCACAGATGGCACGGGTCAGAATCTGGCATCGACAGCATGAATCCACGGACCCGGCCTCCCTTGTGTCAACAGTCCAGGCTGTTGGTGGCAGTGTAAAGGGTGTGGGGATTGTTTTCTTGGCTCACTTTAGGCCCTTTAATTCAAATCTGTTATCATCTAAATGACACAGATCGAGTACTGACCGTCCTTTCATGGCCACAGTTTACCATCTTCTACTGGCTACTTCCAGTGTGTTAATGCACCATGTCACAAAATCCTGAACATGACAATGACCTCTGTTACCTCTAAACCCTCTAGAGTTCAATCCAGTAGAACACGTCTGAGAGGATCCAGAGAAAATCCAGGTTTCTTGAAATTAAAAGGTTTTTTGTCAGGAGGGTGCTGGGATCACTACACTGAGCCTGGAACAAAACACAGGATGATTCCTCTGATTTCTTTTCCACTTATTTAATTTCTTTGTTCAATTTCTCATTTCCTCTGACAGACTGCATCCCGACTGCTCAACATAATTCCTCAGAGCAGGTCGACAACCCTCATCTCCCTTTACTCTGTTGTTGTTAATTAACGTGGACTCACATCGTCCCCACATAAGGCCGAGCTGACTTTAAGCTGTGTTAATCAAAATGTGAATGAATTTTGACGACGGTAATTTAAACCTTCTGCTCGGAGTAACAGGCAATTTATACCTGCCTGTGGGGGGTTATGGACGGGCCCAATGCGAGTAGCACAAAAGAAAAAGACCACAGTGACACTCTGGTATCATCTGAATACATATTTATTAGATAAATATTAGGTTGTCACATCATCTAACTACATACAGTTCTGCAAGACTAAAAATCACAATTAGTTCCTTTATTTTCTGACCAGTTTAGAATATGAAATGATTGTACATACAATGTACAAACATAGAGACAATGGCCACGTTGCATGAATCACCTTAGATTGGATCATTTCCGTTCATGATATCAAAAAAATTTACAAACTATGGATTTGGTTACAATCTTCTGGACCCCCCCCCCACCCGTCTCTCTCCTCCCCCACCAGGTGTTTTTCTGTGTAACCGCCTTTTTTTTCGGCGTCTTTTTTTCAGCTTTAGCACCTCAGAGTACGCAGGTGATAAGACTAGAACACGTAGGCTAAATATTACATGTAAAACATAGCTGTCGCGGTTCCCCGAACAAAAGAGGCGAAAGTATATTACAGAGGGGGAAAGAAAAGCTGAGATAACCCACAGACACTAGCTAACAAGTTCCATATTCAGCCACTTCCAGTAGAGGGGGTTGCAAGCTTTTTATTATTCTGAAGAAACAATGCACATTCCCAGGGAAAATGAATACATTTCTGTTCACATGTCTCTATAGTCATTTACATATATACAGGCATTCGCGGGACGTGTGACTTCACCTTGGCCTCAACAACCTTTTCCAGGCCAGAGCGACGCACATGCCCTTCCTCTCTGTATTTTTTTTTCTGTGTTTTCTTCTGTTTTCGAAACAACATCCCCCAGAAAGTGGCCCTTTATTGTGATTGTGCAACTACAGATTTGGGGTGCTGCCTAATACACCGAACTGGCTCGCTCCAAACAAAACAATGGCTCCCGTGGGATGGATGGAAAGTTTCAATTCAGAGAGTAAAAAAACAAAACAAAACAAAAAAACGTAGCAGTGAATTGTTACAAGACTTTTGATTTGACGTCTGTGTGCGACTCAACAAATAATATTTCTTAAATGACATTTAAAATCATGTTTAGACAAAACCAGGGCAGTTAAATTAGCGCAATGCTACAGTTGAAAGAAATTGGATTTCTAGCCTTACAGATTAATATGAAAAATAGTATAAAATAATTTACCAAAAACAAAAAAAGGGGATAAAAATGTATATGGTCTCATGCTTTTAAAAAAGCCAAATCTTTCTATAACAAAAATATAAACAATATGATGAATTTCTTTAAAATATGGTTGTGATATATCTTTAAAATACCACTGTGTATTGACAATTAGCAACAATTATGATATTCACATAGCTTACTAATTACACTGAAAGCCAGCTGATACCACATCTTTTGAAACCATTACTGCGCCGTTTCACTGATGTCAACGTAAAAATTCATGAGGATTTCCAATTAAAACAAATCCGAGCGTGGAAGAAAATATTGCTTCAAAACAGAGGTTGACGTGTGAAACATTAAAGTGACGCGACACGGTGACCTTGGGCTGATGCGGGGAAGGAGACCGCAGACGAACGGGACACCTGTCCGTGTTCAGACGGGTGCGAGACAGAGTGCACTGGGAGGAAAAGTGACAAGAACGCACAACGACCCGCAGGAAATAGCTTATGAGACGTTTGGACTGGCCTCCCCCCCCGACGGCGAGGAGGCAAGACAGCTGACGTATGCTGGTTACAAACAAAAGTCAGTGGTCAGGTGGGAGTCTGGGAGCATATGTGGTTACGTTGGACGACTAATGATCAAAAGGACAAATATTATCAAGATGATACAAAAATATTCACAATGATATTTACAGTACAATAGCATTTCTTAAAAAATAATACATTTGCATACTGGACAGCACTCTTCTCAGAAAGTGAAAATGAAAACAAATGTGGCGAAAGGTCTGCGCCAATACTGCTTTTAAAAACCACCTCTTCAACAGCAGTGATGGATAAACTGTATTTGTCCTCTCCTATATCTTTGAAGTCAACATTACCTCCCATCACACACAAACACACACACACACAGACACACTCTCTCGCTCTCACACACACAGACACACTCTCTCGCTCTCACACACACACTCACAGACCTGCACAGGACCGAGCAAACACAAACGTCTCCATTCTCAACCCTCTAACTTTGGTGATGTTGAGCAGTTTCCCAAAAGATTTGTGGATAGTTTTAATTATGCAGCGACAAAAAAAACAAGGAAAAAAAATTAAAAATACATATAATACAGAATATCCAGCAAACACATGATAAATGTATCGCTGACATCAGCATTATCCCTTCAGTGTTAGTGTTAAATAAATCATACTAAATCTGACAGAAATCAAAAACAAACGTACAAACAAAAGAGTTGTGGAAACAGCAACTGATAAAAACCACACTATCTTTTTTTTTTAACCACTTGGAACAGCACTAGACAAGGGCTTGGCACACATGCACTTTTGTAGAATACTTAAACAGCACATCATTTAACAGGGAAAGAGATGCAACTTTGCAAAAACGCTGACCCGAGCAACACTGGGGCTCATGCAGAGCAAAGGGCATGGAAGGAGTGATAACAGGAAGCAGTAAACGCAGCAGGATCGTCACAGGAACCCCAACCTCTCATGTTGTACCTTTCATTTCCATTAAAAATCACTCCTCTGTACAGGAGGATGACTATACAATATGTAGAAGTATGTGTATGTTGATATAAACCCTTTTTTTTGTTTCAGTGGGGCCAAACTCTTCTCCGTTCCAGTTGTTAACACTGAAAAGTGTGGATATATCTCTTTTTGACAAAAATATGTATGTATTACAATTGTAGACAAAGTGGAAGCCGATTGTTCTCAAAATCTTTTTTTTTTTAATGTTGGCAGAAGAGCAAAAGTTTTCTTTTTTAAAAAACAGACAAATTTACACAGATCCAACTGATCTTTTTTTTCTTTTGTACAGACTGATAATTTTTTTTTGCATTGCCAAAATCTCTTGTGCTTTTAAATGATGTGTGGCGGACGAAACAGTGCGACTAACCAGACCAGTCGGGGAATGGAGCTGTGACACCAGGAAGCTGTGGCCTCTCAGATTGGAATAACAATATGGACATAACGCACACTGGCCAGATAGCGCAGGTTTTTTTTCTGTGTTTTTTCCTTACAGTTAATTCCTTTTTCTTCTCAAAAGAAAACAAAACATGAATAAAAAATGCTACAGCACGTTTCTAATGTGCACACATACAACCTGTGTGTGGCGTTAAAAAAATCAACTGAGTATAGCTGCACAGTTCAAAAGGTGTCGCCACGGGGTGAGCATCCCGCTGTGTCTTTGAGTTTGAACCTCTTTCAGTCAAATCTGCGCTGGCGAATGAAAACTGTACAAGAGGAAGAAGAGAAAGGGAGTGCATCTTTGTGTTTATCAAGTACTGAGCGACCGCCCCGGGCTCTCAGGGAAACTGCAGGCGGTCAGAAGAGTTTTTGTGTGTCTGAATCGCCTCAGTTGTTCTCAAAGAGCGATAGAAGGTCGTCGTTGCTATTGCTGGGGAGATCCGGGGGATCCAGGTATGACAACAGCTCATCTGGGTTCGCGAGTTCTGGGAGGAGCTGTGGAGAAGAAGGGGCAAAGCTTTGGTTAAGTACTCAAGAGAACAAAGCTTTCTGAAGACTGGCTTTCTAAATATCTGCAGTACGTCAGGACTCACGTCTAAAGATGGTTCGGGCATGTCCGACCCAGCTTGGCTGTCCAAACTGCTGGAGGGGTTGAAGGTCAGGTCGCCATGGGGATGGTTGTTGGGGCCAGGTTGCTGCTGTTGCTGCTGTTGCTGCTGAGGAGGCGGAGCTTGTCGCGAGGGCAGCGGAGGTCCGCTGTGGTGTAGCTGCTGCCCTGATTGGCTCCCAGGGTGTGGAGGCGCATGTAAGCTCTGCTGCATTGGACCATGTGATTGGTCGTTGCCGGCAGAGTGAGGTAACTGCAAAGAGGGGGGGATATATTCAGACTAGGGTTCTAACTAAGGGTTCTTTTGATTGTTAATTATCTACCAGCCCTTTTTAATATCAATCAATTGATCATGACATCTAAAAACTATGAAAAAAAGTAAAGATATCCCCATCGCAACATTCAAAACAGATTTAAATGTGTTCGACTTTAACTTAGAATCATGAAAAGACAAGAAAATATAAATAAGGTAGAACTGACCGAGTCAGGCATGTTGTGGGTGAGTGGCTTGTCTTGGGTCATCATGCTGTTGGGCATGTCAGGCGGGTGAGACAGCTGAGGACCGTGCATGAAGTCATTCATCGACGTACCACCAGGGGCGCCGTGAGGGAAGTCAAAGTTCCCGTGCCCCTGGTAACTGTTACCTAACATAAGAAAAATAAAGAAAATTAAAAACCTTTGAATATTTCATAAAGTTATTTTAGGATTCCTGTAGCATTTGTAAGTTTATGTTCAAGTCTAGTCAACGATGCATTCTGTATTTGAACTGTTTAATACCTTGGCTGCCATATTCACTGTTGTTGCCCCCTTGCTGAGAAGGAAGCGATGGGTACGGCGAGGGTCCGGGGCCGAGCTGCGCTATCATTTCCATCACATTGGGCATGATCATCTGGCTGGGACTCATCGTCTTGAACCTCTTGGCCAGTGGTCCGTCTGGATCCTCCTTGATGTGGATGTCAGATTTGATTGCCACCGGCCGCCAACTACATGTCGGGTCGATGGTCACCTCTTCAAACTCCGAGCTGTTGAAATACAGATGAAAACAAAATGGTTAAGATACAAGAAGTATAAGAATTATAAAAGAAATGTTTTCATTTCAACTCACTTTTGTATAGCGTTCAAGATTCCCCACATGTACTGGTCCACTTCAAGTCCTTCTAACAACGCCGTTTTACTGAGGAGAGAAGAGCGACAGGGCTTAAAATGCTAAAAGATATAGTTACGTGGATTACACTGAAAAACTGTAAACAACAAATACTGCAGTTACTAAACTAGATAAACTTACTTGCATACAGGACATCGCCATGTCCCCCGCTCACAGTTCAGTTGTAAATATGATTCCAAATCAAAACACTGCAAGAACACATAAGACAGAACAGTCATTTTATTATTCCAGTAAACTATTTTAAAACTTGTGTTCCCACCGGCCTGTGTATCAGTGTGTTAGCTTACTTGAATGTGTTTGCAGTCGTGGCCTCTCGCTGGAAGCTGTATTCGCCGGAAAGTGATCGGACATTTAAGGGAAACCTTGATCGCCGTCTGCTCGACGCCGTCCTCACCGTTGAGCGTGGCATTGCCCGATGATGCTGCTACACTACTGAAGTTCCTCTTAACTTAAAAGCAGGAGGAGAGAGAGAAATGTGTGTGAGCGGGAACTCCGAGAATGATGGGGACTTTAGGGAGTAACACTTGACTGTGTCCTTGTGTGAATACCTTTGGTGATGCAGTGCTCTGCAGGCAGAAGCCTCTTCTTCAGTAAGCCCTGGAGGACAGAGCGAACCGAGGGCCTGTGGACCAGCTGCAGTACAAACAAGTGCGACTGTAGAAAGAAACATTACTGTTACTATTACAAACAACCTCTTGAGTTGAGTTGTTTGTGCATCCAGAGGTAAGAAAGATACATTTTTGATTTCGTTCGAAGCTACTTTTGTTTTCCTGTCGACTGTTTTTTGTATCAGGATTAGTATAAACCTCTTAATGTTAGTAGATGTGTGTACTCACACAGCAGCAGGCAGTGACTGTGATCTGGATTGTGTTCCTCCCCGGATGGCATACATGTTTCAAGTGCAGGGGTTTGTGGGAGGTCTTATTGTCGCCTCTCTCGATGGTGAGAGGTGTGGCGTTGACGCTGACTTGGACCGATGCCGGCCAGTTGGTATTCATTTGACGGTCTTCGTGATGATAGCACTTGAACTGCAGCTCCAGGTCTGATCTAGAGAAGAACAAGCAAATGAAACATTTAAATCAGTAGGTGGTGTCAGTGAATAACTGCAGCACATAAAGGGAAACTGCAGCAATTCAGTCAGGATCTTCTCAAGTCTTGGATAAATCTTCTTGCACTGTTGCACTGCTATATGCTAATATATTCCTAATATATGCATGTGATAATTTGAACAATAACAGTACTATATGAAAAAAAGTACAAACCCTAGAATAGTGCCCTGTGGGATTCCATGGGATATTACTTATATTGCTTTTTGCATATAGTGTAAACCCCTGGAACTGACAGCTGAGAATTAAAGTGGGAACTAAAAGATCTTTTAGTGCATTTTCTGTCAAATCCAAAGAACCTTTGGCACTTTAACCACAGTTTATATTCTCTTGCTCTCCAGAAATTGCTTACATTTGTCACTATAACCTCAAAATTATTCATAGAAATTTCCAATGTTAGTTTTATTGAAAACTACTGTTTGGGTTCCTGGAAAAGCTTTTACCCGAGACACTTCTTTACAATTATAAACTTCAACAGTTTCAAGATACCTAAAATACCTAAAACTGCAGTTGTCAAAACAAGGCCACTGGAATAGGGACAGAGAAAATGACTAACTTTCAATAGGTGGTAGGATTTCTAAAAATATACTTAATGTTGATCAGTGGATATTGTTTTACCTCCACATGAGCGTTTGGGCTACAGACGGCCGTAAGTGGAAGACATGGTTGCTGACAGCCAGGTTATGCTCTAGTCTGAAAGGCTCTAGGACGACACCATCTCGCACAGGGAACGTCAGGCGCAGCTCCTCATTGTGGTTGGCTATTTGGGTGGAGAAAAAATGTTTCTAGTGAACAGTCACAAATGAGTAAACCATGTTTTTCTAGATACTTGTTTTTTGGCTACTGACCTGGGGGTGGAGGGAGAGCGGAGATATTTGGTTTGATGTCAGGAGGGAAGGGGGGCTTCACATCCTGGTTTGGCGACAGGTATGGAGGGATGTTACTTCCTGGGGTCATTGGAGGGGTGGGGTTGCCTGGCACTGGAGAGTGGGGGTAGTTACCCACCGGTCTGGGTGGCTATACAGATCAATACAATCGATTAGTAAATCAAACTTTAACACGACCAAGAGTAAAATAATGTGATCAAACAAAACTGGAACAAAATTGGACTTACCCCATTCACATTAGCCTGACTGTACTGGTAACCACTTCCAGAGAAGTTATTTGTTTGGCCATTAAAAGGTGGCTCTTGCTGTAATTTCATAAAACAAAATCATCAAAATTATTTTCTTCCCAATATTTACCATAATTATTTTCTACCATACTGCTGCTAACACCATTCTTAACAACCACTGATAAAAATCATACTGCACCTTATAGTACTGGCCCATGGCACCGCTGGGTGGCGGGTATTGGCCCTGTAGCTGCTGTCCTGGCATTCTTTGGCCGGGGTAGTTGGGGGACGGCAGCGGCCTGGAGGCATTGGGTGTGGGGTATTGCCCCTGCTGGTTAGGGAACTGGCTGTTTGGTCCATACTGCTGTCCTCCATAGTTTGGCTGTGCATGCAGAGGTGACAAACATATTCAACATACAGCAATGGAGCTAAATCTTAAAAGTGAAAATGTTGAATTCATGTCCACTCACCTCCCCTGGGTACGGTCTTTTCATGCCCTGCATACCCATGCTCTGAGGCCGAGGTCCTGCATAACCTTGCTGGGGCATCCTTTGGCCGTGGGCCCCAAAAGGTCCCACGCCTTGAACCCTGGGCTGGCTCATTCCCATGGGGGACCCACTCATGTTGGATGCACTCATGCCTGTGCCCATGTTCCCAGGGAGGGATGGAGGGCCACGGGGTCCTGGCTGGTTCATGAACTGGCTGTTGTATGCCTGGTTTGGTCCCATCTGGAAAGAGGAACTCATCTGCAAGACAAGATGGATTCAATTAACCATCACTGAGGCAAAAATAAAAAAAACTTCAAAGTAGCAAAAGACAAAATGTGTTAATTTGTAAACACTATTGACTCTTTACTTTTTCATGTAAAACAGACTCCTTAATAATGTGTGACGTGCACATAGATGCAGTAAGATAAAGATACTATCACACAAGTGATGTCAGTTGTCCTACCGGCCCATATTGGTTCATGTCCTTGTTCTGGGTTTCCTGCAGGGCAGCTACAGTTGCCGTTGCGGTGGCTGTTGCGGTGGCGGCAGCTGCAGCTACTGCAGCGGCGGCGGCTGCAGCGGCAGGCTGGGTGAAGTCTGAAGGAGGACGGGAGTGTGGAGGGATGCCCATTCCACCAGGTCCAGCATTGGGCCCTCCAGGGTAACTATGACAAAAGGCAACAATATGTTAAAGAAATAACCTCATGTGGGAAGAGTGTGGTTCTTGTAATTACTTCTTTGGATGTATTTTATGCATTGCAAATCTAATACTAATCCACTGTCCACTTACTTGCCACTGAAGCCTCCTCCTCCGGGGTAGTTGGGTCGTCCATACATGCCCTGCTGTATGTAGCCCTGGTTGGAGTTGCCTTTGTTGTTGAACTGCTGCTGAGGACCTGGGAACTGAGGTGAGTTCATCCCCGGATTGTTACCAGACATACCCGAGCCCATAGGGTTGCCCCCAGGGTTCATTGGATTGTTGTTGCTGGCCATGGGATTCCCCAAACCCTGTTGGACACAGAGACACGAGGAACAAGAGTCATCAGGCGATGATATAACCTCCTGGCAAACTACTACTAATAACTTTTAACTTAAAGGCCATATTTCAAGTTTGACATTCTTCTGCAGCAACATTTTAAAACTACAATTCTGTGACATTTAGTCCACTCAGATGCACCTTTACTCCCTTGGACAGGTGGGTAGGAGATCTCACCTGGCTCTGCGAGGTGTTGGTCACGCCCCAGACGGTGGTCACCACAGACAACGAACCCGGAGGCTGATTGGAGTTCTGTTGCCAGGGAACAGAGTCATAGGGAAAGGACCCATCTCTGCAGAGGCAGAGAAAAACATGTCATGTAGGCAAAACAAAATGTGACCTGTGCCAATGTACCAATATTTGTGCAGCACAGCGGTAGTAAGTATATTTGCAATTCCTGGATGATATGAAAAGACAAAGCTTTATACAAGGATTATACAATAAAAGCATGTTCTTCGTACACTGTGTTGTAATTATTGACTACATGTACTAGGGGTGTGGGAGGTTCAGTTTGTTCCCCACTGACTGTGCTAGAAGCAGTTAGTCTGGCCACTGATCCATAAGGAACACTGAGCTTCATGTGGAGAGCAAGGGCTTTCCCCGAGGGCCCAGTCTGTCTGTTCACACACCCAACACGGACACAAACACACCTCGCACACATGCCAAAAAGTGCAGCAGTGTGAACACTGACCCATGCGAGAGGCCGGGCTTCATGGAGCTCATGGGGGGCTGCATGGGCACTTTTCCCGGAGGCTCGTTCTGCCTGTTCTTCTGGTGACGGAGGAGGAGGAGGCGTCCAAGTTCCTCACACCACGAGGACAGGAGAGCTGGGGAGAGAGTAGAGGAAGAGTCGGTCAGTGCTGTTGGACTCCAGAGAGATGTAGCTGCAGAGGTAAGAGCCCTCTTCTGCAAAGCACTGCAAAAACTGAATGCAGTGTGAATGCAGGAGGGAGGTGAAACTTAGGAACAGAAGCTTCTGAGATAAACTGGAAATAAAATTAAAAAGCAAGGACCTGCTTAGTAGTGCATAATAAAAAGCAGTTCAAATGTAATCAGTTGCATTATGACATAAGAATAAAATAAACTAAATAATAAAAACTCTACTAGAAATACTAGAATATTTGTTGTGTAAGTTGTGTAATATAAAGTAATACAAATATTTATTGTTATGTTCATCGCTATTTACTGTAAAATGATGGAATGATGACTGGCAGAGTGACGTGAGAGGCTGAGACAGTGACATGATAAAATGAAGTGATAACATGGAAAATGCACTTGATGCCTCTGAGACCTTTAAAACAACCTATTCTTGCTCCACATGATTCTACTTTTGATAGTTAACGACTCAGAAAATCTTATTTCGTGGTGTTTCCCTGTTGGATGAGGTTGTTTCACCGTAACTCTCCAACTATTCTTCGTAATATTCATCTGTCCAGTTATCTATCCATAAAGATTCTCTCTGACCATCTTTAGTGGGCTTGCATGTAATGCGTTGACAAAATTAACGAAACACGAAGTTTATACACGAAGCAGGATTTTGCTCTGGAAAACAGTTTCTTCCCACCATGTGAAATAAAAAGCAGTGAACAGCCGACAGGCTGCTTTGCCATATAATTTAATTATTTCGCTAATTGAAAAAACCCTTCGACATTTCTATATGCAAACAAATGTTATAGTATGGAAAGTTTGGAAATAAAAAGTTGATTCTTTGATTCACTCACTAAAGAAAATCCCTAAAGGTGGCACCTTTGCTGCAATATAAAAGATGTGCCTCAATACAGCATGCCACTGCAGCTGTTGGCCACTAGGGTTCACTCTGGGCCTGCAGATGGACCCCAGCCCTTCCCTCCCTTCCATCCTTCTACCTACCGCTCAGCCAGGTATCTACCACAGACCAGCGTTTGATCGAATCATATGCTTTTCATCTGCAGTGTATGTTTTTGTACTGTGCTGGCTACAAAAGACTCAGCTCTTCCTTTTCCTCTCCGCTTCCCCCTGCCTCCTTCCAGCCGCTCTCTGCGGCGTCAGAGGAGAAAGGGAATGTGGATTCAATCAAAGTGCAGGGGCAGCCACCTCCTCTTATGATTCACAGCACTTCTAGTCTGAGGGAGGGAGGGAGGGAGGGAGGGAGTGGGGTGAAACAGAGCGCTGGGTGATTTCAGCTGCAGTTTGTGCAAAAAAGCCACGTCAATATGACAGCAGACAGTGCAGGCTGTCCTCGCAGGCAGATTCACCCACCCCGCTGCCACATGCAAGGACAGCCCGCCACTGCACATATTACACAGCGAGGGAGGGAGGGAGGGAGGGAGAGAGAGAGAGAGGAGGGGAGACAGGGAGTGAAAAAGGTTGAGTGAGTCAGTGAGAGAGGAGACATCAGGCTAATGGGGCTGATGGGAGGAAGGAACAAACAAAAGCTTCTGACTCCCATCACAAACATGGCAACCCAGAGATTTGACCACACATCACATAAGTGCTTGCAAACAGAACAAGAGCCCACTGACACACACACACACACACACACACACACACACACACACACACACACACACACAGTAAAAATCAGGAAAAACACCACACTGGCTTACACAAACACACACACAGACACACACAGTGGTAACATAAACAGGACACGAGGTGTCCTCCGAGTGCGCCAAATTTCCGAGGACAAAACAGAGATTTCTGCATGGGTACACAAACACACACCTTCCCCTCTCGGAGCATCGCACCCCAAAAGGCACCTCCTCTCTTTTCATTTGAACACTGAGCACACCAGCCTCGCTCTGTGTAAAGATGAGGGCTGGAATACAAAAGACATGTACAGATGGTGCCAGCAGTCTCCCTCTCCTCTCCCCTCTCCCTCCCACTCCTTTAAAAGCAGCATGGGGCTCAGGCGCGGAGGCAGCTGGGTTTTTCCTCCTTCCCACCCGCTCATGCTCCCTCTCTTTTCCTCTTTTTCTTTTTTTTCCCCTCTCCCCACCACCTCCTCTTCTTGGCAAGCAGGTGCCAGGAGACAGGCTGTGCTGTTCCTCCGGAGGATTGATCTGACTTTACCACGGCTGTGCTTTTTGCTCGACAGAAAAGGCCTCTCAGGTGCTCCTCTCCTACAAAAACCTCACAGTTGCCTACAGATGCGTACATTTGTGGGTTGGTTTTAATCGAATACAACTGGATTCGAGCACGACTAATAGGTTTAAGAGTTTCACATTTATGTTAGAACGTCCTGCAGTGTTTTAACAGCCCCCTCCCTCTCCCCAGACCCCCTTCTGATGGAGAGAGTTTTTCAATTCAAGGGCCTGGCGACCAGCCAGCATGTTACAGCTCAATTAGGTCCCATTATTCTCTTCAAACAAGGGGTAACTTGCACTTCTTCTATGTTGATAAACATGTCGCCACAATTTATCTCTTAACTGTGGCACCGCGAGGACGTCTGGCGAAGGGGGGGGGGCGACGTGCCTGTTTCACGCTGAGGCCGACATCAACAGCCGCGGGACAAAAAACCCAACAACGACGTCGATAAGTATATGTGAGGGAAATAAAGGGAGGGAGGCTCCAGCACTGCCAATTGAAGAGGAATTCTTCTTCTCTGCCATTAGATAAAGGGCTTATCACTGCACAAAATTACCACCTCCACTGAGCGCCAACCTGCTTAAAGGAGAGGTGCTCTGTCATTGACTCGGAGGATAAACTTCAGGTTTCATATGACAGGAGGAGGAAGAGCCTACATGTTACTCCTCACAGTCTGTCCCTCCTCCTCCTCACCCAGACGTCTCAGAGGACAGTGTGGATGATGAACACAAAAGGATTACTGCTTCTCCTCTCCTGCTCTCCCCTTCAGTAGACTTGTCTGTTTCCCTCCCTGAGCAGAGCCAAAACTGGAGATAATCGTCTCAGGTGTAGCTCCTCCAAATCACCACATCTACGACTCAGTGAGTGAATCAAAGTGTCGTTTTGTTCCACAGAGCATCTTGCCGCCCTGTTTACACTGGTCTCCCTCGTGGCGATTGGTCTCTGTCTTCCATAAGGAGAGGAGCCCTCTCTGTTTGCCTTGTAGATGGTCCCAGGGGCCCGGCTGAGTCTGAGCCATATTGATATTCTGGTGCTCAGCTGCACAGCCTGATGGTCAGTCGTGGCAAAGGGCGGTAAATGCATCTGCTGGGACTAGATGGGTGGTTCAGTTATAGCTGGGCCTGCAGCTTCCAGCATCACCCTCTGTCATAAAGCCCAGGGGGACATGACAAATGACATGGACTGCATCCCTGACAGTTGTTCAATGCGCTTTCCAATGATAATGCTCCCCCACCTCACCTTTCACCGTGCGCACACACACACACACGCACACACACACACACACACACACACACACACACACAGAGAGAGAGAGAGAGAGAGATAAACTGTGCTGATTAAACAGGGTGATTTTCTTTCGCTCTCCCAAAATGACAGGACCTCCAGATTAAAGGGTCAGTTGACTCAAATTACCCCCAAAAAGTGGGGTAGATTTTTATTTGTGCTGGTCAAAATGTGATTTATTTAAAGAAACACTTAAAATAGCAGTTTGATGGCACACTGACTTGGAATAGGGAGAATGGTGCTGCTAAAATTCAGGTACAATCCCAGGTACAAACTGTAGATCAGTTAAAAAGATTTATCTCAAATATTCATGGAGGAAATTTAAGATTTTGTTTTCTCTGCACAAAAAGCATTGAGCCCAAAAGGAATAATCACAACGTCTGGCTGCAGAGGGCGCTGTTGCTTAGTGAAAGTTACATAGTGGTGCTTTAAAGGTGTTATATGGTCGAGGGGGTTTCAGCACTGAGCACACAGGTTCTGCAAGTGTCGTTCACCTCCTCAGTAATATAACTACATGTCAGGGCTATAGCTGGGGACCATAAGAACTGTGATTGGTCGGATTGTGGTAAAACAAGGCCCAACAGTCTTTTCACATTCAGAAATATACGTCCAGCATTATATCATCTTCTGCTGAAACAAGGTGAACTTTCCGAACATTACTCCAATCACAAAGCAGCCCAACTGAAAGAATGTAAACTGTTACGACTATGAGGCAGTTAACGATATATCTGTCTGTTATGGAGATGGTGATAAATCACAACAGGTGCGTCGAGTATCCACGCAGAGACTCCCATTATTCCCCCGTGTCAACTATAAATCCATCTCACCGCAGGAACAGGCCCAATAAAACCTGACAGTGTGTTGTACGGCTGAGCCAAAGCAAAGGAGGCACCGTTTCAAGATACATTTATCAATACTTTGACCACGACAAATAAAATTCCTCCTTTCACCTCCATGACACTGCGGGGGAGGTAGAAATCAAATAAATGTTTTCTGTTACGTGGGCGAGCTGACTCTTTAAAACGGATGTGCAGCATATGAAACCTCACCGTGATGAATAGGTACGTGTGAGAACAAACTGTGGGAAAGGATAATCTTAAAAACATGACATGAATGGCCTTTCTCTCCGTTTACTGGCAGCAGGTAAAACAGATGCCAAGAGCTCTTATGATCCCCCCTCTACGTCCACCTCCCTCCCTCCCTGGCTGCTCTTTATATAATAGACACCTGCTCCCTTGTCAACTGGACTCCCACCTGGCTTCGTCCCACATGGCTCGGTCTCTAATGCTCACGCAAAAATACAGTACACATGCCGTCACCACATCACGCCGACATTATCAGCGGCGCTCCCTTGCTTATTCCTGTTAAGACTGAAACACAACAACAAAATCTTTTTGTCGTTAACCTGTCGAAAGGAATCATGACCCCCCGAGCTGCTTGTTTGAAGACATTTAGCCAGAAGCGGCTGAAAGCAGAA